TGATTGCGTGAATATGAAAAGTTGAGACACAATGTTACTGAAGTGATTGCCCTCCATCCAGTTTGCCTAGTCATCTATTGATTGTGGGTTTACGAGTCTGTTTATAATTTGTTTGGGTACAATCTTACTGAAGTGAGGAACTTTAAATGAACTCTAAATAGATCACTTGTTTCCTTCATGAGCCTATCTCTCGTCCGGTTCCATTCCAACTCGGTTACGTGTTATGATTGATGTCACAACTCCAACTCGTCCATGTGGTTATAACTGGACCTGGGATTAAACAAAACAATCATGTTAGTTCCAAAAATATGTTATTTACCCTCATTTTGTGATGCAGGACCGAGTAAGAAAAGAAAATAGTAGTCTGGGTTATGATTGTAAATGTAGATATTTTTAATTTTGCAATTTAATCTGTAAGCAAGTGATGTTTAATCAGTAGCACATGCTAGAAAATAGAGCATATGTAATAATGAGCTTCTTTATTGAACATTTAACCAGATTATAATATTATATAAAAATTTTGCATCCTTACTCTCCCTCAAATTGCAATACAGATGTTATTTAAATAAATGTCATTTGTATAAGTTTTGTATGATTAATTTAATTCTATATTAGCTCATGATTTTGAAGAAAATGATTTTATCTCGGTGCTCTTAATGTGCCAAAGTATATGATATTGTTTGACTTTTACATTTTAGAGAAAATATTCTTTTCTACGCTATCAAAATGGTCAATTAATTTATCTAATTATCTCGTTGAAAAACTTTGAGCCTACTCGCTTTGTAGTAACTTGCTTGGTAATGGGATAAAAAAGAAACCATTCTCTTCATGTGTAGTACTTTGACAACCTCGTCACCACAGTAATCGAATTTGTGATAAGAACTCGCTCTTGACCAGTTTGCATCTGTGAAAAATGTCAAGGAAATTGTACTTGCAAAGGTATCATAGACTCTATATCATGCAGGTTGTACTGATTTATCTTTTGTTGGATAAAGCTATGTTGTTCTTTATTTTTTTGAAGTTATCTAACCTCTTCATCCTCTCTATTATTTGATACAGCTGTAATATTGATTGCCATAATTTACTACTATTCTCTATTTTTTAATATTATGCTTATAGATTCCTTATAGTTGTTTTTTTTTCGACAATTTTTTCATTTGATGAACTACGTTGACTCTTTGTTTCACCATCCTTATTATTCATTGATAACTTACTATATTTGAGCAGAAAAGTACTGGGGAACTCAGCTTCTTAACTTCTTTTATGAATTTTGATGGTTCAATGGGTAAACCATTATGACTTTAAGAAAGTTTAGATAAAATTTTCCATTTCTTTGAAGACTAACATTTTTTTATTTGTTGCAGTCAAAGTATTCACAACTATCCAAGAAAAGGCACCAAACAGTGGTAGGTTACTTGTTAATTTGTTTTCATCTTCATGAGTTTAGTTATTTTCATCATTGTCAATGAATGTTAACGTAGGTTTTGGGTGCTAAAAATAGTGTTTATTCGTTTTACTTTTGAGAATCTGTTTGGTTGAAGCAAATGTTTTCTATCTTCATTTCTTGGTTTCACAAATAATCACAATATGTTACGTTGCTTTCATGGTTTTGTAATACTGAAATAAATGCCTAAATTATAAAAATCATAGAAAATAATACACTGATCCAAATTTGACAAATTATATATCAAATTAACGCTTTTTGAATCATCTTTCCAACGCACTAAGCCTCATCCTCAAATTCGATCTGTACCTTAGGATATTGTCTTTTCAATTAACACATGTCATTACTGAAAAGTTACTCCTGGCAGTAGGCTATGACTAGATTCAAATTCAAACTGGGCCCAAACCTGACATACAAAAATTACAAAATATATATGAATATGAATATATGAATGTTAGCTTTCTAACCCAAAAAGAATTATTGAAAAACTCAAACCACATCTCCAGATATCACTGATTTAGTGCATAGAGGTTAAAAAGCTTTAAAAAAATCCGAATTAACTAAAATGCACAACTAAACCTAATTATGCCTAAGTATTAAAACTTAATAAAAAACAATGCTATTGATCAACAAATCAGCCCAAGATAAGTGGGATTAACATCACTAAACATGTATTAAAATGCTCTTATCAAGGACCTGTTCTATTTCTGATTTTTTTGAAAGACTCTTGTTTTTTTGCAATTTGGTCTTATTTCATTATGTACATGTACACATTAATTAGGTGTCATTTCTTTTACTATTTAGTATGTGTTGAATATGTAAATGTAGCAGTGGATGGTTTTGTTTCAATTGACTTAAATGGACATTGGAGTTACTCTTTATTAGAAAACTTGGTATTGAACTTAAAGTCCTGTAATTGTCTTTTGCAGTAAAGTTTGGATTTATCATATTTAAAGGGTCTTTATGTGTTTGCATTTGACGTCTCAAAAATCTCTTATCCATTGAATGCGCCGTTTTCTTCCCCATAATTGTTATAACTTATTTAATCCATTAATCATTTTGACATGCTTTTTTTATGCAGGGAATAAATTGTGAAATCAGATCTTGTTGGGCTACAATTTGGAAAGTTCTTCAAACACGTCTACTTCCATCATCTTAGGTTTCCAACTATCAATATCTTCATACTACTGGGCAATTTTAGTAGCAGAGGTATAAATTCTAGCAAGGCCTATAAATTTTGTGTAATTATGTTGGCATATGATAGGACATGGATGCTAGAGGTTTTAATGTAATTATGTTGTGGATAATTATATGGTATATTAGTTATTAAAATAAGTCATTTGTTGGCATATGACAGAATATGGATGTTCGTGAAAATCGTAGTTGGATGTATAATAGACTTGTACCTGGTCGAACAGGGGCATACTTGATGCATTTTTAAATGGTGTGACTGAATTTGTGTCATTTGCTCTTCAACATGCAAACATGTCAAATGGAAAAATTAGATGTCCATGTAGTAAATGCAAAAATAAGAACTTTTTAGATTCTGAAGATGTTAAAGTCCATCTTTATCGTCGGGGATTTACACCTGCATATTGGTATTGGACATGTCATGGAGAAATGGATCCAAATATGTGTCATGTGAATCCACACGAGAATAATGCACACGAGGTTCATAGAGAAAACTTTGACAACATGATTCATGATGCTTTAGGTGCAGAGTTTGTGAGTCATTTTGATGAAGAAAATGAGCAGTTTCCAAATATTGAAGCAAAGAAGTTTTATGATTTATTACATGCTTCACAAAAACCATTGTGGTCAGGATGTACTAATCACACTGAATTATATGTTGCTGTTAGATTGTTGACAATTAAATCAGAGGGAAACATGTCCCAACGATGTTTTAATCAAACATTGGCTCTTTTGAAAGAGACACATCCTGTAGATAATTTTATCCCAGAAGATTACTATAGAACCTTAAAATTGGTTTCAAAACTTGGTTTATCAGTAGAAAAAATTGATTGTTGTATTGATGGGTGTATGTTGTTCTACTTAGATGAAGATAAGCAACTATCTACATGTAAGTTTTGTCAAAAACCTCGTTATAAGACAAAAAAAGTGGGTAGAGGTAAATATAAAAATGTTCCTGTGAAGAGAATGCACTATTTACCCCTCATTCCTAGGCTTAAGAGATTATATGCTTCAATGAGTTCTGCTCTGCATATGAGGTGACATTGTGAAAATAAGAGAAAGGAGGGACATTTGTGTCATCCATCAGATGGAGAAGCATGAAAACATTTTGACAAGACATTTCCTGATTTTGCAATAGAACCGAGAAATGTAAGATTAGGATTATGTGCTGATGGTTTCACCCCATATGGTTAATTAGGAAAACCATATTCTTGTTGGCCAGTAATTATAACTCCTTACAATTTACCACCACAATTGTGCATGACTACTCCCTATATGTTTTTAACTTTAATTATTCCTGGGCCAAAAAATCCAAAGGAAAAAATAGATGTATATTTGCAACCATTGATAGAAGAGTTAAAAATATTGTGGAGTGAAGGTGTGTTGACATATGACATTTCCAAAAAACAAAATTTTATCATGAAAGCTGCATTGATGTGGACTGTTAATGATTTTCTTGCATATGGTATGTTGTCTGGTTGGAGTACAGCTGGAAGATTGGCTTGTCCATATTGTATGAATAATTCTAAGAGCTTTTGGTTGGATAGTGGTCGTAAGTTTACTTGGTTTGATTGTCATCGTCAATTTTTGCCTATGAATCATGCATATCGAAGAAATAAGAATGCATTTTTAAAGAATCACATTGAAGATTCTCAACCTCCATTGATATTTTCTGGAGATGATGTTTGGGAGCAAGTTGCTTATTTTCCAAAAGTAACTAAGGAAGTACAATTTACATGTTATGGTTGTGGTGTATATCATAATTGGATAAAACAAAGCATTTTCTGGGAGTTACCATATTGGAATTCCAACCTGTTAAGACATAATCTTGATGTCATGCATATTGAGAAAAATGTGTTTGATAATGTCTTTAATACAGTGATGGATATCAAAGATAAGACTAAAGATGATATGAAGGCAAGAATGGATATAAAAAAGTATTGTCGGAGAAAGGAGTTAGAATTGCAACAATTACCTAATGGAAAAGTTATAAAGCCTAAAGCATTATTTGCTTTATCTAAGGAGCAAAAAATTGTTGTATATAAATGGATTAATGAGTTGAGAATGTCCGATGGTTATGCATCAAATTTGCAGAGATGTGTAAACATAGAGAAAGGAAAAATGATTGGAATGAAAAGTCATGATTGTCATATATTTATGGAGCAGTTATTGCCTATTGCTTTTAGTGCATTATCAAATCAAATTTGGAAACCAATTGCTGAGTTAAGTAAATTCTTCAAAGATCTATGTTCAACTATTTTGCGAGTGGATGACTTGTTATTAATGGAACAAAACATTGCAATTACATTATGTAAATTGGAATGATTCTTTCCACCTGCATTCTTCAATTCAATGGAACACTTACCTATTCATTTGCCTTACGAAGCAAGAGTAGGAGGTCCTGTTCAATATCGGTGGATGTATCCATTTGAGAGGTACTACTTTTTAATTATCAAATTTGAACATGCATACTTGTCTTATTTGAAATTATAATAACAATGTGATGGTGTTGTATTAGGTACTTGAATAAGTTAAAAAAAATGGTTAAGAACAAGGCACGTGTGGAAGGTTCAATATGTGAGGCATATCTAGTGCAAGAGACTTCTCATTTTTGTTCTTATTATTTTGAGACTCATGTGCAAACAATGAGAAATAAAGTCAGTCGCAATGATAATGGAGGTGAAAATGTACAACTGAATTGTGTATCAACAATTTTTAATCATCCTGGTCGCTTTAGTGGAAGATCTTCATGTCGATACTTAAATAAGAAAGAATTAGAAGGTGCACATTTGCATGTGTTACTTAATTGTGAAGAAGTTCAACCATTAATCAAGTAAGCACCGCAATTCATTTTGGCATGCATTTTTCATGCATTGTCGCCGCCGTCCGTTCCGACGTCCAGGGACATCTCGAACGTTTATGCGAGCAGTCGCGAAAAGATGGTTTAGACTCGCGTTTTTTGTTTAAAATATGTTCATTGCTTCCGAGGTGCTCAACAACTGAACTATCCTCTAATAGAAGCAAGGTTTTCGAAAAAGGGGTTCTTTTGGAGTCACCACCAATGTTTTAACCTTAAACATTAGAAAAGGAAAAAATGTTGATTTTAAGAAAAACCGCACTTGGTCATTATAACCAGAGTTGGGTAAGGGAGTTAGTTACGTGTGGGGAAGGTGTTAGCACCCCACAACGCCCCTTTCGGGTTCCCTATGACGGATTAATTCATTTAAGTGAAGATACAAGAAATTACGCTATTACCCTATTTTATTCATACAATATTTAAATATGGCTATCTACATTATTTTATTTACATTTCATATATAAAGCAATAAATAAAGCAATAAAAAGAAGAGAATTGGAAAGAACCTCCGTAGCAAGCTTTGTATTGCAACTCTTTTACAATAGGACGCGTTTCGGCAGTCCCTCGCTCTACAACGACTCTCACAAATAAACTCGACTCGACTAAAACTTTATAGAAGAATCGAATGCCGGAATATAATTCCTTAACTGATTGTTACCTCTTTAAGGCAATCAGAAAGATCACTCGAAAGAGAGAGAGAGGTAGACAAGTGCTCTGAGTTGTCTGGAGTGTGGAAAATGAGCAAATGAGCCTCCTATTAATAATTTCCGCTTCCTGGCACATTTGGGACGACCATCTGGGTTGGGACGGCCATCTGGGTTGGGACGGCCGTCCCAATTGAATTTTTTACACTGAGCCAGCCCCCCTAGGTCTTGGGACGGCCGTCCCACATTTGGGACGCGCGTCTCACTTGTCCTAGGAAGTTTGGGACGACTGTCCCAACTTTGGGACGACTGTCTCGACCTGTGTTTGTCCAGTTTTTGTGTTCTGGGACCCCGAGAAGCTTTCCTTGCTTTTTTCAGACGTTGGTTGATGTCGATAGGTGTCCGTTGAAGCTTTATCTTCATATAGGAAGTCTTCTTGGCCCTCATTAAGATGTCGGGCGAGCTTTATCGTCGTGTAGGAAGTCTCCTTGGCTTTTGTCGGGTGACTGGGTGAACTCTATCTTGTTGCGAGAGGTCTCCTTTTCTTTTATTAAGAGGTCGGGCAAAATTAGGGGTCTACAGCTGCCCCCCCCCCCTTCACCTGCCTAGCTAATTTGTTGGCTTAATATGCCGATAAAATTAGTTGGTAGGGGAAGGAGTTAACCTTTTTGCCCGGTCATCCTTCGGATGCTGATCCTTGCTGATTCTCCGGATGATAAATATTTTGATAGGTATCAACCCCTATCTGGTTTGAGCCTTCTTTTATAAGGCTCTGGTGAGTATTTACCCTTCACCAGGTATAAGTCTGTATTTTACTAGACTTTAGTGAGTACCTACCCCCTGTAGACCACAAATCTTGCCCCGCCTCCAAATAAAGAGTAGAAGACCTCCTATTCGAAGATGGACGAAGCCTAACAAGCAAATAGGAGAGACTATTAGGCCCCATACTAGGATAGGAAGGAGTTTCTGGACAAAAAAAAGGTTTTCTCGCCTTTTTGGGACGAGACCGCCGTCTCGAAATCGAGACCGCCATCTCGCCTCACACAAATGGCGAGACCGCCGTCTCGTTTGGCGAGACGGCGGTCTCGCCACCTACGAATGACGAGATGGCGGTCTTGTCACCTGCGAAGGACGAGACGACGGTCTCGTTTGGCGAGACGACGGTCTCGTCACCTGCGAAAGACGAGATGGCGGTCTCGTTTTGCGAGACGGCGGTCTCGATCCTGTCAGACGAGAACGGCGGTCTCGCCACTGCCAGGCGCGAAAACCTATAAATAGGGGCTCTCCCCCCCTCATTTCCACACACCACAAGCTTCTAGCTCTCCCTTCTCTCTAAAACTTCTCTCTAGAATCCTTCCGACGCATTTCCGGAGTTTCTGAGTGCCTTTGAGAGCGTTTTTCAGTGTCTAGAAAAGTTTCCAGCGCTGTGTAGAGTGAAGGGTTGCCAAAAAGCACCCTCTTTTAAAGAGAAATAAAAAAAGAAAGCTTGCTTCGGAGGTTTAAACTCTTCCTCTCCCCTTTTATCGCTTTAAATTTACATTATGCAATAGATTAGGGCCATGTAGTCATACTTTTAAATTCCGCACAATAAAAAGGGCAAAAACGTAATTTTCCATGGTTTAAATATTTTTAAATAGCCGGCCTGTCATAGGGAACCCGAAAGGGGCGTCGTAAAGGGACTAATACTCCCTTTACACGTAACTAACTCCCTTACCCAACTCTGGTTCTAATGACCAAAGTTGGTTTTTGAAAACCAACGCCTTTAAAAACCCCTTTTCCGATGTTTCTGGTAAAAACATCGGTGTCGACTCCACAGAACCCCTCAAAAATAGTCCTTGGGTTAGCTCGGTTATCGGACAACCCAAAGACGCCCTTTTGAAAACCTCGCCCCTAGGTTAGCCCGGTTATCGGACAACCTAAAGGCGTTGTAACCACCCATAAAAAACGCGAAAAATAAAAAAGGGTCGAAACCATCGCGTCGCTCCGACTGCCTCTTTTTGACGGCGGCGACAGATGGCGACTCCACTGGGGAAGCCTCGAGAGTTGATCCCATTTAGTGATGGGCCGGCTTAAAAATAAATAAACCAAGAAAATAACGCTTTTTGCCCTTAACTTGTATTATAACATGATTTACAATTTGGCTTTAATAATTGTTGCTTGTTTATACTTACGCAATTGTGTGAAATACAAACTGTACACAAACCTTTGCACACAACAGTTCCCTCTATACCCGGGGGCAAGTGAGAAAACCATAGGGAGTGGGTGGCAGGTACGGTTCACTGTAGTGAGGGCCTTGAGCTCACCAGTGTGATCGAAAACCACCACTCAAGGTGATAACCTTCCTCTTTTGACAACAAGACTGACTACGACCTTTGTGCTAAGCATAGTCGGACGGCTGGAGAGTGGGGACCCTATAATGGGGGCACCTTGGGGGCCTTTAGCCTAGTGAGAACAGTTAGAACCAACCCTTGCCAATGCACTTTTCTGCAGGAAAACCCTACCTCGTAAAAACGAATTCTCGCCTGTTCGTGGATGATCGAATTGTGTGTGCATATGTTTGTTGCATTTGTCTGTTGCATAGCATAAACAAACAACAAAACAAAAAACCCAAAATATTTTCACAAATAAACACCCTTATCTCGGACAGTCTGCCTTTTAGCTAGCCTGGTTTCAGGTTCTTTGTAAGCTAAGTAGCCACGCAGTTCCGACAGAAGAGATAAGGGACGCTAAAATATCCTTTCGCATAAAGCCACATTTTATCTCGGACAGTCTGCCTTTTAGCTAGCCTGGTTTCAGGTTCTTTTTAAGCTAAGTAGCCACGCAGTTCCGACAGAAGAGATAAAAGGCTATAAAAACAAACAAATAAAATAAAAAGCAATAAACATCAAAATAAAAATCCATTTCCATGAATAAGACCTGGTCCAAAAATATTACACTCACAAAACATTCATATAGACAGTTTATGCTTCAATAAAAAATACACGCAATTACCATACATCATATAGAAAAACATGATAAATAGGAAAATAAACACTCACATAAGCATCATCTTCATCAAACATGCATTTTGGTTTTAGAAATGGAGGGGACAAGTAGACAGCCAAAGAAGGTGGATATTCCCCGTTTCCATACTGAGAGATTGGAACGGCTAAGCGCGGCAATTCCATCGGAGGTCCGCGCTGATTTTGAAAAATCCTATGGACGGATTTTGGGCCTTCTAAAGATTTGTGTCGATCAGGTGTTCCTAAGGGCGCTAATCCACTTCTGGAATTCAAATATGCGGTGTTTCAAATTTCCGCAGTTGGTGCCCACATTAGAGGAGTATGAAACCATGTTGAAATGGCCCAAATCAGCTGGGGTCCATGTCCGCCACGAGGCATACACTCCTGCAGCACCAGTCGCTGCCCTTATTCAACTACCATTCCGGCAGAGTACCCTGATAAAGAAGGGAACGCCCAGGGTTGGAAAGTATCGATGCTGGAAGACCACTTGTCCTACCTGGCTGAAAGGGCAGAGTGGGTCGTCTTCAACAAAACCCTGGCAGTCATAATTTTTGGAACGGTCTTGTTCCCCTTCCACTTTGACACAGTAGATCAGGCCGTCATGGACGCTTTCTTTGCCTGGGACGTGAACTCGAAGAGTCCCCTGCCTGCTATTCTTGCCGACACCCTACTCTCGGTGGAATTCTGTCACCAGAAGCAGGGAAAAACACTTCGCTGCTGCTCTTCATTGCTATTTGTGTGGAGTACCACGCACCTATACGCCTCCAGTCACATGGGGATATTCCCCGATCCTTTAAGGAGCTTCTCCAAGATCCCCCTCCAATGACGCCTGACTACAAAATGGAGGGACGAGTGGAATCAAAAGGACGCCAACAGTTTATCCTGGGTCTGTTCTTGGTTCCGACCCGGCCCAGTTCTCATCAGATGTGGGGACTATCCGAGCGTACCCTTGATAGGACTCAGGGGTTGCATAGCCTACTCACCTAGAGTAGCTATAAGGCAGCTCATGAGGACCCAAACTACTATTTCCCGAGGGGAGCTCGGAGGACTGTGCTTCTTTGGAGACCCGTGCACAATTGCCAACTCACTAGCTGTGAGAAAAGCATGGGAGAAGCCAGTTTATATGGGGGACAGAGAGCTAGGAAAAGCTCGGGTGGCTGTCACCAATGACTATGAGGCGTGGAGAAAGAGAAGAGGGATGGCTCAACCATCCACCACACCTACTACAAGCGCCAATAATGAAGGGCTGCAGGCTCAAATTAACGCCTTGACCCAAAGGATAGAAATCATGGGAGCCCAGATGAGGGCCCTTGAAGAGAGAGAACAAGCCTCTATCCTTACAATAGACGGTCTGCAAAGGCAAGGCAAGAAAAAGGATCATGAAATAGAGCGCCTCAAGGACCAGTGTGCTGACTCCCATGAACAAGTTATCCGAGCATCCAAAACTGCCAGAACCAGTTCGGATAGCCAACTCCAGGAAATAACCGCCAAGTCAGCACGCCTTGAGGCCGAATCATCAAAGCAGGCTCAAACGATCAAGGAATTGTCGCAAGAGCTCATCAAGACTCAGTTAGATATCCGCCAAGAACGAGAGGCCAACCGGAGACTCAACAGAAGTCTCGCTGAGCTACGCTGCAAAGAAAGAGACGGGCTAGCTCAGTACGGCCAAGTACTACAAGAGAAAGACCGAGCCGTTGAAAAGCTCAATGAACTACAAGTCTTGGTCGTTCATCAAGAGGCGAAGATCAAAGAGGCTCAAAAGTACAGTGAAGACATGAGCCAGGCGGTCCGCAAGCAAAGTGAAGCACTTGCTCGTCATGTCCGGGAAGCCGACAGAGAACTACAGAGGGATCAAGACCCGCCTGTGGGTTTCTTTAAAGTTTTTCGCTTTTGCCAAAAGTTGCTTCGCAATATAGAATAGGGGAATGTACACCTTCTGTTGAATAAATAAAATTTTCTTCTTTATTCAATGACTGTCTACTTGTATGCATAAGCATTCATTTGCATATTTAATTCCCCCTCCTTCACACTTAATAAATAAGATAATAAAAAGGAAGGATTAACTAACACGTCTTCTAAATCAGAAGAATGGAGAGAAAGCCACTCCTAATAAAGCTTACCCCAATGGTCGACTCATCGCAAGAGGAAAATAAGCCTCAGCCGTTGGTCCTCAAGAATAAAGAAGAGGGGGCAAGGACACCAGTGCGACTATTTATGCCACGTCCTTTCCCCTACGAATTGAATAAAGTTGTACCGTGGAGATACGGGGAATCTTCACCAATAAAAGAAGAAATAACCAATATAGCCGGCATTGGGGGCATGACTAGAAGTGGAAGAGTCTACTCCCCAAAGGACACACAGGAAGATGTCCTCAAGAATAAAGGAAAAAATAGGAAAACCGAAGAAGAAAAAGAAAATAAGGAATCCAAGGAGGAGACAGAGGAA